AAAAAAAGTAAAATTAAAAAAGATTTTAAATTAATTTTTATTTTAAACAAAAAGAAAAAAAAAAAAAAAAAAGGCAAACGTTTGTAGACTGGCAAATATTTTAAAGAAGCTTACAACTAGGACTACCTAGATCATTTAAATTCAATGCCCATAAAACTTGACCACAAGTACCTGTAACGATAGTCTGGATGTTTCTCCATGTGAAGTTTGCTAAGCCTGGACTGTTCTTCGTAGTAAGGCTGTTTGTCTGCATTTGACATGCTCTTCCATTTAGCACCTGACAACAAGAAACATTTTTTTCTTTCTTCAAATCTTCATCAGTTATTGGATATAAAATATTCAGGGGGAACCCCAACAGTTCAAGTTACTGTATTGCCAATTAATTCATTAAGCCAAAACAATCATCAACAAAACAATCAAAAATTTTTTTTCAAACTGCCGCAGAACCAGTTGTTCCATCCACAAACATATCAATTTTTTAACCGGGTCTCCATCCACAAACATATCCATTTTTTAACCAAGTCTCCATCCACAAACATATCCATTTTTTAACCGGGTCTCCATCCACAAACATATCCATTTTTTAACCGGGTCTCCATCCACAAACATATCAATTTTTGTTACCGAGCCCTTACCCAAAATCTTGCTGATGTTGGAGTTGTGCATATCCGGGCAGGCCTTCAGGATCTTCCTCCTCTCTTCTCTGGCCCAGACCATGAATGCATTCATTGGACGCTTGATGTGAGGACGTCCTGGGTCAGATTTCTCCCGTTGAGCCCTGATGATTTTGGCGCCAAACATTTTACCTGGAATCAATGTAAAAAAAAATAATAATAAGTTATTATTATATTTTTCTTTATCAGTCTGAGATTGTTGCAGTCATTTGTAAAGACTGTAAATTAAAGCCCTCTTAGGTGTTTTGTTTGTTTTGTTGGTAATTAAATAAAACTGTCTTTCTCAGTGGAGTAAATTATTTTAACACGCTGTGAGAATGAATGTTTCAGCCAGCAGTTTCAGAACTAGGCAAAGGTTTAATTCCTCAAGAAAGTTTTTTAAAATCCTGTTTCAAACAAGTCATGTCGTCATCTACAAGTTCCTTTTAAAGTAGGCTAACCAACAGGCTG